CTCTCTCTCTCTCTCTCTCTCTCTCACACACACACACACACACACACACACACACACACACACACACACACACACACACACACACACACACACACACACACTATAAAAACAAATTTCTATTTAGTTTTATAAGGTGTTTGTACTTACAGATTGCAGCAGTACATGTCTACAGACGGTCACTGACAAGCTAGAATGTGTACGCTGTCATGTACAGGCTGTTACAAAGCAATATCTTTAGATACAGTGTAACTTGTATTTAGTGGAAGCCAGATAGTACTTCAGAGCCTTACATGATACCTGCTTTGTACCGACAGATCTCTCTCTCTCGCTCTCTCTCTCTCATTTGAGTATCATAAGGTTTCTTTTTTGACAGAGTGGGTGGAAAGCTAGTGACTTAGTCAGTAGCCCTATACTGCTGCTTTGGGACACAAAGCTGACAAGCTCAAATTCCACTCTGAGAAGGGCATTTGTGTAGATATTTGTCTCCCAGCTGCACTTGAGGTTATTTGGAAGAATGGTCTGAGCATAAGGCTTGCTAGAGGCCCTTAATTAAATCCTACTTCCTCTGGGGAGGGAGAAGGAGAGGGAAGGACAACACATGCGTTCAAAAAGTGAAAAGGCAGGGTACACAACACAGTCTAACCTGGACATGTTTAGTGTTTCACATGGCAGGATGGATAAATTTTTGGTGTGTGTGGGAGAGTTCATTCTTAAAGTGCAGGGATAAAAGAGACATAGTGAACAGAAATCTAGTCAGTTAAAAAAAATGAGTTAAAAGTAATTTCAGGTACTTCACCTGCTTGAATCCCCTGTCAGTTTTTTGTGCTTTTACAATCATATTTTCCTTAAAAAAAAAAAATCTTTCTCCTTAGCTGGTGTGTGAGAGATCTTCACAGACAAAAGGGGAAACTGATCAATAGATTAGACAAAAGTGCTGTGAAATATACAAAGTAAACAAACCTAGTTATTTTACCCTTCATCTGGTAATATAAATGATAGTTATGCCATAGTTATCTTAGATATTATTTGTAAAACATTTTCAGACAGATGACTGAATTTTAAATTGATAACATCCCTGGGAAGTGAAGTCTGCTAGTGTCCACACCACAGTTACAGTTAGGGGCCTGATTCAGAAACCATTGGAGTCAGTGGGTTTTGGATCAGGTATAGATACTTATAGATACTTTTTAAAAACTTCAATATTGTTAACCCTGTCATTCCCCTTTCACACCCCAAACACCTTCCACCTCCACAAAGAGGGACAGAAGCTTATTTGAAGACAAGCAACAAGTTATAGAATTTACAGACTCTCCCCGACTTACGCAAGGCATTCTGTTTCGGATTTTGTGTTGGGAACGCATACCCAACAATTACGCCAGAAAAAAAAAAAGAGCTTATGGAACTTATGGAGCTTTTTCCGTAAGTGTGGCTTTGCATAACTCGGGTCTTGCGTAACCCGGGGAGCGTCTGTACAAGGTGCAAATATCTTTCATAAATGCCAGCACTAAAAAGAAAAATTTATCAGAGCTCTGAATATGACACATTAAAATGGACAGCTCACACTACATTAAGGAAGAACAATATGTAAGTGCTGTCATAGCTTCATAGATGTGTGTTCATTGTTTTTCTCTCTCCTCCTCCCTTCCCCAATCCATACATCACAACAGGTAGTTCTCAGCTGTTCCTTTTGCAGCAGACATACGTTTTATCTAAAGAGACAGAAGACCGAGCTACCTGCTGCTTACTGTATGGCTTTCCTGTGTTCCTCTTTTTTTTTCCCCCTAGTTCACTGGGGGCCTATTTAAATAAGCTGGCATGGAGCCAGAAGCTCATCATTTTAATGCAGTGTAAAATGGAATATGCATAATTATATGCAAGCCATATGTGAAGGAGACAGCTCAGCTGTGAATTTTAGGAGGCTGAGAAAGAGTGAACAGTCAGGGATTAGATGAGATGAAAGCAGAACAGAGTGCAAGTGTCACCCAAATGAACGGTGTAATGAGTGTGTTGCTGACACTCCTCCTTTCACCTACTACTCCCTTTTGCTTTAACTCTAAACCAGAAAATGTTGTAGATTAGAAGGAAAATACTATATGCAAGCAATATTGCTAACGGGGTCTGTTAATGTCTCCATTTAAACTTCAGCTTTCTTAATTGACAGTGTAGATCAAAATAACCAGTAACTTTTAATGCATCTTCTTAATTAAATATTTTACCACATTTGATTGAAGAATCATTGTTCTTCTTAGATGATTGCTCTTTTCAGAGCTTTACTTAAAAATGAAGGGAGAATCCACTTATCTCTAATAGCATTACATGTAAATTATGAGTATGAAAAGCTATTTGTAATGGCCTTGCTGTTAAAATGAAAATAGAGGTACGTTATCTAGGAATTGCTTAAGCATGTAAAAAAAAAAAGTTTAAACAAGTACGTATGTAATGTAATCCTGAAAAATGCAATGAAGTAAATTGAAACCCTTAAGTGCTCACAATTTCCAGCTCAAATATTTCATTTTGGGTTTGTCTCTTGTTGTTTTAATTATTACACCACAGTGAATTTGCATGTTCAGCCTAAACTATGTAACAATCAGCATCCCAAGTTCTCATATCTAAAAGGTGTACTGCGTATTTAAACAAATTTCTTAATAATGTTGTATTTTGGGATTCCCGTTTGTTTTAATGATCTGAGCTGTTATGCTTTTAGCTATTTTTTTCTTCCATTATTTGTAAGTCCCTAAATAGGCCATTATATTTCCCTTCAGGCTAGAGATGAAGATGGACATGCTGAAAATTTTCCCCAGCAGCACTATGCTAAGGAAACTCCAAGGCTTGCCTTCAAGAATAACTGCGAACTACTTGTAAGAATAACATACTTACAACAAGTCTAGATTGTTACTTTAGCACAGTGAAAATAATTTTTTGAAAGGCTTTTGTTCATGATTACATACGTTATGAAATATTACAGCTTTTTTTTCCTGTTTAGAGTTCTAATGCTAGTTCTGATATCAATGAACAATTTTATCATCTCAAATTGTTTGCAAATCTTTTATATCTGATTATAGAACTTGAATGGCCTTGTCTTACTATCTTGTCTTGTACAGTAGTTCATAAGGAGCCATGAAGGGAATGGCTAGTAAAGCACAAGGAAAAAAACAAAACAAAACAAACAAAAAAAACCCACCGGCCTCACAAGCTGTAAAAGACATCTCCCCGCCCTCCTGCCCCAATCTTAGCTCTACATTGTTCTCAGACACTATTGTAATATTTTGTTCTGCTAGGAAACACAGCAGAGCTGACACGCAGTACTCCCTTTAGAATTCAACTGTTCCTCTATTTTTTAGTGTAATGTAGTCAGGCACTTTCCCCCTCTTCTTTTTTGAGGGGAAGGAGTGAAAGCCAGCGAAGTACTGACAAGGAGCCTGGAATGTTTACAAGGCGTAAGAGAGATGATATCAGCTGTGAAAGGATCTCTGTTCCAAGGCAGGGTTAATTTGCTGTTCATTTTAGCATTTGCAACTAGGCTAGGTTAAAAACAAGCAGGAATGCCTATTATATTTCTATTAAATGAATCTGTAGGGACCTAATATTCTCGATTAGCTTGCGAAAATGAGTGCTCCACAATGAATTTTTCTCTTTACCTAAAGTAAACAGAGAATGAATTGTCATTTATTTAAAAAGAGATTCACACATTGCCATTGAAAATGGAGCTTTTGATGAGTTTATAGAACTTTTCCCTACATTTCCTTTTCTTCCCAGCACCAGTAAGTAAATACCTCATTTGGCTAAGTGGAAATAGTTGGGGAAAATGAGAACACTCAGTTTTATTTTGAAGCAACTTACAGACTTTTTTCTAATTATAAGTATATAAAAGAGGGGGGAGGGGGGACACTGGCTGCAACTCCTCTGCCTCAGCAAATCCCCTCTACAGAAGATATAGGGCTGGAGAATGCTCTCAGTTCCAGATGTGCAACCCCCAAGTACGTTAGTCAGTTACACTCATATAACTAAGTGCAGAAATTGGTCCTCAGGATCTCACTCTCATATCAGTGGTTTAAAAACAAAAGGCTGGGTTCTGCAGTCCAGCTGAGCTGTGCTTGGCACAGGACTGGGGAAATGGGCAATAAAGGTGGCTTTCTATCACCTTTGTTTTCGCCCCAATCTTAGGATCAGCCTGGGATCCATCCAGTATCTGGCATAAACTAAAGCAGTGAAAGCCCCCCAAAGGGTCATTCCAATAACTGTGAATAGCCAAAACACAGAGACACACTGGCCATGCCCCTATTCCCTGGGAATGCCCCCTACAACAGGGACAGGACAGGGACTGGCATAGTGGTAGCAACGTGTCACCCAAGGATACCCTTTACTAAGGAAATCTCCACTAGCTGGTTAAGATGTTTTCCAGCTGCTTTGTGCCACTTGTGTTACCCAAAAGGGCAAGACTCATCCATAATGGAATGCCACTTGAACAAAAGGTGTTACACCAGGCATGAATCTGGGCCTCAAGAACTGATCTTGCTACCACTGAAATCAATTGCAAAGTTCCTATTGATTGACTGGAGCAAGGTTAAGACCTAAGTGGCCAAAGAGTAGGAAAATTGAGCCAATTTATAATTATTCCCCTAATATTATATATTTACTAAATAAAAAGAGTTTCATTCCTTAATGACCACAGCCAATTACAAGAGCATTAGTCTCCTCAGGCCTGATACTGTGCATTCCCAGCATGTGCAAAACTCCTACTGAAGTCATCAGGAGTTCTGAGTGTACCAGGAATGCTGGATAGAGTCTGACACAATACACTAACACAGTCTGATCCATGAAATAATTCAGTTATTAATCCAAATGTAACTTTGCTTTTCTTTTAAAATAGATGAATGGAGCAACTAATGCCCACTCCAAGCATTGTTTTAATGTACAGTTACATTTCCCCCTATCAATCTATGTTTAAAATATTGTACTATTACATAACTCTTGTTCTACTCAGCAAAAGCTCTGAGTCATCCAACCTAGTATTTTGTCCTCTGTGTGTTTTTTGGACAGGTTTCAGTTCTTTTTTAAGGAAGTAATAAAAGTAATTTGTCATAGTTTTACTTTTCCGATGCTATTGGAAAAAAAGAATTGGCAGAGATGCTGCCTGGAGTCAATCTGCATTGAAAGAAAGAGGACAAAAATTATGAATATGCACTTCTGCTATCATTAAAGATATACTTGGACAGTACCTCTCTTTGAAAATACGTTGGTTCTAGCCTTTGGAGATGGTGGATACTATGACTCGGATAGGATGCTAAATGTTTTATAGTCAGGCAGTCATTTTATTTATATATTTCCATTGAGTCTATGTTGTGTTAAAATGCAGTTGAAAACAAATATATTGAAAGTTAAGGGAGGGTAGTGTCTCTGTCTGAAGTGCTTGTCAATATTTCTATATTATTGTGGGCAATTTTCTGCTGGACAAGAGCAAAAAAAATAGACAGAAAGTAGAAGGAAAAAACAAAAACAAAATGACAGGAACATTGTTTCCCAATGGAAAAAGCATAACCAGTCATTAACAGTGAGAGGCAGATGTTGGTTTCTTGCTTTTTGTAAAACAATGAAGAGTTAAGACTTTAAATGAAAGAGAAATTGAAACTTGTTTATTCTTTTGAGAATCCAGAAATCCTTGGAGTTTTCTTAGTGCAGTTTAGAGTAAGTTTTATAATAGCCTGTCAGATGGAATTGGAAGCTCAGGCTCAAAAGTGCTTTCTTAGCTTTAGGGTTCATCTGCCATTTTCCAATATGGTTTGTTGCAGCACGTACAGTCCCTACTGTTTGGGAAATGCTTCTGCTCCGAGGGTGCTGCCAGGATAGATCTAGGGGATCAAGCACTGATGGGTTCTGTATGCTAGTGCGCTCCCACAAGAACAAGAGTGCATGCTTAGAATGTTAATATCCTGGGTCACAGACACTCATTGAAAGACTTAACCCCTAAATACCTGGATAGATTTCTAAGTATAATAATAACCTATGTTATTGCAAATTGCATGGTTTCATCTTTGCTTATTTCTTCATTACTTAAGAGAGAAATATTTGGGCTAGCTAGGTACAACTCAGCGATTTAAAAAAAAACCCAAAACAGCTAGATAGGAAGTAGAAGGAAGAATACATTATCATTTAACAAAAATTAAAGCTCTGAGTGCATATGGCAGCTCTGTGTATTAAGAAAGCCGTGACAATTAAAGATTTGGTTGGCATAAAAACCCATGGTGCAGTTATGGGATTACTTTATGGTATTGATTTCCCACTTTAAATCCAAAATATGCTATGTGCCATCACAGTTAATGCAGAACACACACACAAAAAACAGATATTAAACTCAATGAGGATATAGAATTTTCCTTGTGAACTTTTAGTCATTTTGAAAATTAAGTTTTCCCCAGGTTAACAATACCTGATAAAATCTTGGGAACTACATAATGCAAATATTTTTTAAAAGAATAAGGCCAGCATGGTGGCTTGGCTGGCAGCGCAATCCACTGCCAGGGTTCCCTGCATCGGACTTAAATTTCTCAGCAGCTGGGAGCTTTTATATAGGCACATCTCTTTGTTTCCAGGAGAAAAGGGCAGAGTATAGTCCCCTGGAAGCTGATTGTCAAGTAGCAATGCAATTCAGCTAGTGCTGGATGTTGGGAAAGAGATGGGATTAAAGAGTGAAAAATGATGTGCTAGAATGAAAGGACTGGTGAAAAGCCTACAATTCCTCCTCTAAGCAGCCCAAATTCCTGAGTCATTGCCTAGAGAAAGTACAAGTCCTCCTAGGCCATGGGTGGGCAAACTACAGCCCAGGGACCACATTCGGCACTCCAGACATTTTAATCAGGCCCTCGAGCTCTCACCGAGAAGCAGTGTTGGAGGCTTTCCCCGCTCTGGCGCTCCAGCCATGGAGCTGGGTCAGGGTCTTGCCCCACTGTGCACGGCTCCCGGAAGCAGCGGCATGTCCCCACTCCGGCTCCTACGTGCAGGGGCAGCCAAGGGGCTCTGCATGCTGCCCCATCCCCAAGCGCCACCCCCCGCAACTCCCATTGGCCGGGAACCGCAGCCAATGGGAGCTGCAGGGGTGGCGCCTGCAGACAGGGCAATGTGCAGAGCCGCCTGACTGCACCTCCGCATAGGAGCCAGAGGAGGGACAGCTGCGGTTTCTGGGAGCCGCTTGAGGTAAGCGCTGCCCAGAGCCTGGCCCCCAGGTCCCCTCTGGCCCCCCTGCTCCAGCCCTGATCCCCCGCCCATCCTCCGAACCCCTCGGTCCCAGCCCAGCGACCCTCCTGCATCCCCAAACCCTCATCCCCAGCCCTACGCCAGAGCCTGCATCCCCAGCCGGAGCCCTCCCGCAATCCAACCCCCAATTTCATGAGCATGCATGGCCCACCATACAATTTCCATACCCAGATGTGGCCCTTGGGCCAAAAAGTTTGCCCATCACTGTCCTAGGCTTATATCCAGGTTAGTCAGAGCAAGGGAGAGCCCCTACCAGGATGCCCCTCCCACAAAAATAGAAAATAAAAAAACAACAGTTTGTTCTTGTTCTCTCTTGCTACCCACAATATTCAGTGCAGTTTTAGGATTAGTCAGTAAAGTATGTTACTTTCTGAGCAAGTGATAATTTTGGTGGACTAAGGAAATGAATTGCTGGACTGCTTTCCCAGATCACTTTTTAGGGAGACAAAGTAAGAACCATGTGCACCTACAGAATTATATAAAAAATACATCGCCAAGGATTGTAACTAGAATAGCACTATATTGCTGTGGCATGATAAATTCTGCCTCATGACTTTACTGCACAATTAGTTAAAAGATAGGCTTGCTGGGCAAAAGTCCTTATTTA